GTTTAGCTTTGGGCTTGGGCATTCTGCTGGTTTTTTGTACAAACAAGGTACTCCAAATAGGTGCCCGTCTCAAAATTAAGACTTTTTTCTATTTATTCACCGATTCAAAAATGTACTCACTCTATCACATACACACGTCCGTAGTCGACCGAAGCTCGAACCGGAATCCAAAAACCAAAATTCAAAGTTTTAAACTAGGCTACCCGGAGTAACCAAACAATACAGAGCAGTACGCAAAAACAGATTCTGAAACACGGGAATTTTTTTGGCGTAGCGGATGTTTGTGAAAATGTTCTGCATATGGGATACATCAATTTATGCTCTTTAGGAGCACACGGCACAGGTTATCAATAAAATTTTAATCTATACGTTGAGTTTTTACGCTCATTCGGATGTGCCTGTAGCCAACAGGTCGTTTTTTTCTGTTGTTGTCGGTGTCAATATAAAGTTCAGGCAGTGTTGACAGGAAACGAATAACAACGATGATCATTAAAGGGACTGAAACAGACGTTACAACAGACGATATCAACAGACGTTGATATCGAATTGATTAATAGATCGTAATGTCTGGCCCTTATAATGTAAATAATGTGCACTTCCTCCCACTTCTGTAACCATTACTCGCTTATGCTCCGAGTATAAACGATCCGGATTTTTTCAAGACTGACGATGGTTTGTAATAGCTACTAGACTTCCAGCGGGGGGACGCCTGTCGGAGACCACCACTGCCGTGCTTCGAATGGACTATCATGATCCCTTCCCTGAAGGACGTAGCCTACAACACATCTTGACTGTAACATTATCAGCCGCACGCCACCAGACAGATCATGAACAGTCTAGATAAAACAATGGAGAAATATATGTTCAGACTTGAAATGTTTAGCACTATGTAGAACCCGCTGGAAATCTAGTAGCTATTACAAACCATCGTCAGTCTAGAAAAAATCCGGTCAAAGGACATGCTTTTGGATCTCCTGTGAACAAGACAGGAAAAGTACATGAATCGACGACATGCCACATCAGGCCTACTCTTCAGCGCCGACATCGCTATGTTAAGTTATATACTTTTTAAAATTGAATGACATTGTAAATTTATGTACCGAACAGCGGTGGGCAGTAGAGCGCTACATTTTCAGTAGCGGTAGCGGCGCTACATTTAAGGCAATGTAGCGTTAGCGGTAGCGCCCGCTACATATTTAAGAAGCGATACGAGGTTTTGCCGCTACAGCGCTACCGCTACATTTATAGATAAAGCCTTTAGATTTACTTAATAGTATTAAATATTATTTTAAAAACAGCATGATACATACACAAAATAAATTACAGAATAAAACTGTACGAAAGATTTCGGTGTAATGTTGTCAACCTCAGCCTGTTACTTGTGTCAACATGTTGTTACTTGTTAAGTTGTTACCAGTTACCGCTTAAAGGGATTTTTCATGTTTCAGTTTGCTTACAGTTAGTTTTACACAGTTATTTTTATGTTTCACCTTCCCTACATGGATGTCTACTTTAATCTACCAATCTCAAAAATAAGCCACATATATATACAAATAAAAGACTGATTTTTTATATGTATATGTGGATAAATTTTTGAGATTGGTAGATTAAAGTAGACATCCATGTAGGGAAGGTAACACATAAAAATAACTATAACTTTTATTTACTGTATCTAATCCGTACTAGTTCGGTTAGGTTAATTGCAATAAAGTTGCATTGATATGTTTTGAAAATGTTTTATTATCTTCAAATGTTTATGAGTATATCCCAATAGCAGAACAATAAATATTTAGATATTTCCAATAATTTTGGCCATTGTAGCGGCTAATGTAGCGGCGATACGCTATACTGTAGCGGTAGCGGTATCGCTCGCTACAATCTAGTGGGTGTAGCGGTAGCCGTAGCGCCCGCTACATTTAGAGCATGTAGCGTTAGCGGTAGCGCCCGCTACATTTAGAGCATGTAGCGTTAGCGGTAGCGCCCGCTACATTTAGAGCATGTAGCGGTAGCGGTAGCGCCGCTACATTTCTAAGTAGCGCTGCCCAGCTCTGTTACCGAATGATTCATATGTCTTAAAAATGCCTTGAATGAGCGTAGACTGCGCATGGTGTTACGGTCTTAGTCAGCTTGGAGGGTCATAATCATAGCTGAGTTTATGTACGTGCGCTTCAAGTATGTTTGGCTCCAAGGCCTTTTTTTACAGTTCTGAGTTAGGAGCGACATTTGTTTGTACGGCTTTGGTATATACATTAATTATGAGAAGTCGTTTTGTAATAAAATTATGCTAGAAAATACTGTAATTATTCCAATAGATTCTACTAGAAGTGCAAGGCGCAATATGATTTTCATACAATTTTATTTTGCGCAATTGGCCTGTGGCAACTTAGGCAACTAAGCGGAATATCAAGTTGATCCTTTTCGTGTTGATATAAGAAACTAATAATTTCATGAGATAAAATAGAAGTGTTTTGTGCTTTCGGAGCATATATTATACAAAATAACTGTACCCAATGCTTGGTTCTCGCTACCAATATACGAATTCACTACACCCATTGTTTTTTTTTTCATCATCCCGACAATAATTGTCCATCGGTTAATTCGCAGACCCATTTAGAACAATTGGTATTGTTGCAAAAACAACGAATGGACACAACAAAATGAACGAATTACCATTGTGTCTAGAGTTATGTAAAGGTTCTTTTTTTATTTTTAGTGCAAATTTTTATACAAAATTGCCAAAGAAATTACGGCTAAACGTGGCTTTTATTCATCGGATCAGCTTCCATTGATGCATCTACTTAGCGATGTTAGAGAAGAGCTCAAAGTGCGTAACCAAAATCACCAGTGATTAAATGGAATTTATGGAACCTAAATACCGCGCTTATGATGCAGGTGTTAATTAAAGACAAGTATTTAATTATAGACTCGTAGAATCATTCAAGTAATAATTAAATTGCCACGTACCTTAATAATAATTACAAAATGTTAAAAAAAATCCTATAATACACAGCACAAAGTTTCAAATTTATATGAATAATACAAATCAAATACGGTACACTAAATGTGCATGATTTCAACAAGTTCATTCATAAAACTTGATTATCTGCCGTAGGTCGTTACATATGAAGCCATTACGTGATTCGTCAGGTTTGAACATGTTCTTGAAGCAATCTCGAAAGATATACCAACACACATATAAATTCATTTTCTTATCAGTTGAAAGCTTCATGTATATGCGTAGTCTGTGAAAATTTTAATTCAATAAGATAGCAAATAAAACCAATTACCAGTGAATAATTCATTAGTCTAGAAACGAAAAATTGAAAACAGCAATGCGTGACGACTGTGTTCCTTACAATTAAAGTGGCGTGCTTAAGTCTAAATGACATAATTGCGAATAAACACGGGTACTGTCCCCTCTTTTTTAACTCGTCTTAATTAAAACTTTAGGCGGCCAAAAATATTTCCTTTGGTCGCATGACTAATGACTTCATTAGTTATATATATGCAGTAATAGTTGAAGTTACTTGAACCAAATGCTGGTAATGCGCTCGAAAGAATAATTGAAAACCGTAATTACATATAAGGGGTTTTTAGAACAGAAATGCTTCAAAACCGCTAGTATATTGCGCTTAGATATACCTCGAAGTCGAAGGAGTGGATCACCTCGAGTCCCCTTTAATAGTGAGTCCCAATGGAACTTGATGACCTTTCATACGATGTGTAGAGCAGCTGAAACGCATTAACCCCAGCAGTCTGGCACCTGCAGGCTTAGAAGGTAGGTCTACGCGCGGTTCCGTCTTCCGACTAGATGGAGCCTGGCCATGGGCACGAGGTTCGCCGTTCGAAAGAGAAATACGACTAATATGCGTGAATTTTTTGTTTTTGCTGACGTCTATTTCTTTCAGATAAAAAGGTACCTGAAATATGTCATTATTCATTTCATGTTATCACACATTTTTTCTTTTAGGATATGCGACAGAGTCGGACAGACATTTCCGAATGCTGACGGTGTTGATAGAAATATAGCTATATAGGCCTATCGCCATTTTTTTTTATTTCTTGAGCTAATAAGGTTCTTGACAGGCCTACTGGCCTATTCTTCAATGCCAAAGACACTTTACTTAATACTTATACATGTACATGGGGCTAGTCTTGGGGCCTTTTGGCTAGTGATTCATCATGTTGTTCATGAACCCTACTAAATCATGTTCTTGACCAATGACCAGTAGGTAGTATTAGAAGGTTTTGATTTACAAGCAGTAAGGAACCGCACGTAAACCTTGCTTCTAAATTAACAGATACTCCACCAAGTGGAGTACTATCTGTATCTGCTTTGCCGAGTGGGACAGACTCCGACGGAGTGGTGGGTGGTGACTTATGTGTCACAGTGTCATTGACCTTTGCTAATTGCTAAAGCATTTAACCATTCCCCATTACCTATAGCCTATAGGCACTAGGCTCTAGTATCTGGCAATGACTGGCATGAAATTTATCTACTTTTTGAGCCATTACTACTGACTAGAGCTTTACCATCAATTTTGGAAGTGCGAGATTCCTGCAAGATGAATTTCTTTCCATCTAATTATTGATACAAATTACAAGTACACAATTGGGCTGCAAGATTCCAAATGTACAGGGTGATTTGTGGGAACTGGGAACTTCCTGATTTGAAAGCTCAATAAAAAGAACCTGTAAAGATATTGTAGGTAACACTCTCACAGGCAATGGTTAATAAAAATGGTTAACTTCCAATTTCCAACCACCAGTCCCAAAAAGAGATTTTGAGAAAGTAAGAATGATATTTAAAAAAAATGCTCTTTATTAAAACTTTTAAAACCAATTAATATCTAAGATCTGAAATTGTACCTACTTCTGATCTGATTTAGTATGAATGATGAAAAAATAAAATTACTATAAAATACTAATATATAATAAGATATATTTTGCTTCTATAAGTTCTATTTTAGTATTGAACTCATGATGTGTATTGTGTAGTAAGTATTCAATCCATTGCCCACTGATTTTAACTCATGTTACTGATACTGGGCGTCAGATATACCAAAATGTGTAGTAAATTCAGCTTAACATTGATTACGGTCTACGGATGCCAAATATTTGCTGAGTTAGCTCTAACATAGCCAGGATAATGAGGATATTATCCTGTGTCAGTGTGTTACAGAGTTGGGTGGTGTTTGGCATTTGCACTTCCGCATGTATTCAAATTTACTAAGATTTCTGATGCCAATACCGGTATATTTATATCATATTGATTTATCAATCAATATACTTTGATAGTTTGATTGGAGTTTGGACCATATACAATGTATGGATACCAAAATTAAGTTTTATGTGGCTTCAAGATGAAGTTGATAAGTTCATTCAAATTCATAGCTTACTGATATGAATTGGTAGGGAAATGTTAGTTTTTTGCCTTGCTAACAAATTTTTATCAATTAAAGCTGATTTATATGATTTTCCTTTGCAGGGGTAAAGAAAATAACTTTGAATTGAAAGAGTTTTGAAATGTCTCCTTTACATAAGGATTTAAATAATTTAAGCAAGCCTAAGGCATTGTGGCATCCTTCAGGAAGATATATTTCTGAGGATTCAAACATAAAATGTTTCATGCGCTCTGTTAATGAGGACTTCAATCTTGCAATTGGTAAGCTCTAAGCAGTGTAGTATTAATATATAAATAGGGAGCCAGCATTTTTACAGCTATTTTTCAATATTTTAGCCCATTCTTCTAGCTTCTAAAGAAGTCGAGGATATCTTTTAGACCTTGCATTTTCTGCAATTGTGGGTGAAAACTATTGATACATTAACATTGTGGAACTTTGAATATGTATTAATTCCTAGAGCAAATTAATTAATTAATGCTAAAAGCTTTGTTAAAGTTTGTCTCAAACATGAAATTATACTTATTTGCATGGTGTGATCTTGTTGTTATGGAGAGAAATTTGCAAACTTAGTCTTGTTCTCTTAACCTGTGGTCACACCCAATTTTCTTTGATTCCTTCCTGATCAAAAGTTATGGATTATAAATGATTAAGTGATCAAGCTCAAAACAATTTTTGTGAGAGATGGAATTTAATGAAAATTTGTTTTACCAATTCACTCTGTAATTATATGTATGTAAGTATAATATGTATACTATAATAATAGAATTACATGTACCTATATAAGCTAGAATAATATGTAGGTACCTCAGAATATTATGTATTATGGTGAGCAATGTCCAAAGATTTTCCCTTTTTTGGATAATAATGATTAGGAAATTTAGTATAAACACTTGTTGAAAGTGTATCTGTACACTTTATTTACTTTGAACTTGTAGGCTATAATTTTTGTGACTGAATGTTATTGAAATCCCTGTAGTATGCGTTGTATTAAATTAATATCTGGTATGCAAGAACTTGTTTATATATCCTTAAAGTTGTCCAAGTGCATCTTTATGCCAGCTCTAAATTTAATTTTATCTTCACTATTTTAATTTTATTTCAGAAAGCTACAAAGAGTTATACGATTGGTCAATAGAAAACTATTCTGACTTCTGGAGTCACTGGTGGAAGAGAGGTGGCTTTATTAGCTCACATCCTCCTTCACAAACTGTAACGGAACACAAGAGTATTGCTGAGCTGCCCAGGTGGTTTGTTGGGGCACGGCTCAACTTTGCTGAAAACCTCCTGCGCTTCAGGGATGAAAGTCCAGCCATCATTGCACTGAGTAATTATATCTTTAGCTTGCTTAAATTATAATTATATATATCTTAGCTTGCTTCAATTGTAATTATATGGTTTATCTTTAGCTTGCTTAAATTGAAAGTTCAACAAAATTTTTGAGGTAAAAAGAATGCAAAGTAAATTAATATAATCAACATCAAAAACATACCAGATTTGTCATAGTTTCTGAAATTTAGTAATTACATTTCTAGTTTCTACTGTCTATGAGTCAATTGGGCTCATTGTACTGAGTTCAAGGGCTATGGTGGTAGCCAACAGAGAAGAATCTATCGCTCAGTTGTGGTTTTTAATATTGGGAAGAGTTCAAATATTGTTTTTTCCTGCTGTAATTCTATGAAAATTGTTTACAGAGGCTAATGTTTTATTGTTCTACTGTAATTTTCAAAAACTATATATATATTTTAAAATTTGGTAAAACTTATAAATTGAAGTTTTGGCTAAACTCAATTGAAAACTCAGACACACCTACATAAGATCGTTCAGCTTGAATGTTAATGCCTCATGATTAATTAAACTTTGCTCGCATCAGGTGAGGGCGTGACAACTCCTTTCCGACAAACTTACCGTGAACTGTACGAGTCATCACAGCAATGGGCCAGAGCCTTACGCAGAGCTGGGGTAAAAGAAGGCACCCGTGTGGCCGGCTACCTACCCAATGGCTGTGCTGCTGTCCATGCCATGCTTGGTGCCACCACCCTGGGTGGAGTTTGGTGCTCTGCATCTCCAGACTTCGGAGTGACTGGAGTGCTTGACCGACTTCAGCAAGTGCAACCTGAAGTACTTGTGTCTGTTGAAGCAGTTATTTATAATGGCAAGGTAAAGCTTGTATCTATTTCTTCTAAAATATTAAATATGAAGAGAATCAAATCTTGAATGTCATCACCCTGAATACAATTATGTCCATTGAAGCTGTCTTGCAAGGCAAACTGCCTTTTGCAAAATCAATTTCCTCTAAGTTGTACAAAAACTCAAGCAATGAGTTAAGTGTGGAATAAAAGCTTTTACTGTTCCCCCTCTTTAAGTTAATAAGGCAAATCAGGCCTAAATCAATTCTCTATTATAGATTGTAGGATCAACAACGCCTTATGATCTGCCATCAGCATCTCGTGGTGTCCATCTTAGATGAAGCCTCATCATGTTATTCAGGATAAAAAATTCTAATCATGAATGTTTTTTGAAAATGCCTGATAACAAGAGTTACACTTCGAAAATAAAGGGTTATTGTGTTCAATAGTGCTATTATGAAAGCCTGGTAATGATACCTAGTTACCTTTAATAGATAAAGGCTTATAGACTTCAATATAAATTTAGTGTTGCAGGTACTGCATCAGTCACATCATCCCTAAAAAAATTTTTGAATAGGTAATGATTGTGGTAGTAGTGAAATTATTTGATGCATTTCAGTGTTTGAATGCATTTAATGTTTTTAAAGTATACCGCAATTAAAAGTCTGAGAATTTCAACTCTTAACTAATTGATGGATCATGAATTTTTAACAAAATTCCTGCCATTTTTGTTAAAAATTAACTTCTGATGCTCTAAGAGTAAACATCAATTAATTTCACTGTGGCATATTAATGATTGATAATTTACATGATTTTTAATGCACTAATAGTGTGAGTCTGTGCCACTGCTAAATTTATTTCAGAAAGCTACGAAGAGTTGTACATTTGTGTGTTATCTCATTTTTAGTAGTGTATAAGTATATTCATGATTACAGGTACACGATCACCTGGACAAGCTACGCAGAGTGGCGGCCTCCCTGCCCAGCCTGAAGCTGGTCATTGTCGTGCCTTTCGTACACCCTGCTGGGGAGGTGGATATCAGCAACGTTCCTCATGCGTGAGTGAAGCTCTCAAACATCAGCAAACATGTCAAACATTGGGGATGGTTCAGAGCATGCAGTGACATTCTATATAAACATTCCACATTGCACATGCAGTGACATTGTATATAAGCATTGCATATTGCACATGCAGTGACATTACACAGCATGCAGTGACATTCATGCAAACATTAACTATTGCATATTAATACAGGGTCCTTCAAAAAAACTTCCTGATTTCAATAAGCTTTTGCAAAAATCATACGACACATACAGAAAAATTATTTTTATTTGTGAATAGCTTATTTGATGCCATTTTACATCACTTAGTACACTATACTTGGTTTTGAAAATTATGTTCGATAAATGATGTCCCCCATTGTTAAGACATTCACGTAGTTTTTCCCTGAAGTTGCCCATAGTTCTTCGTGTAACTTCCCTTGGAATGGCTGGACGTGGCTGCCACTTCCTGCCTTTTAGTGCTGACCCTGTTTGTCTAAAGTTGGACACCCACAGTCTAATCGTTTTCGCATCAGGAACACTCTCATATCGGCCACTATGGGCAACTTCAGTGAAAGACTTCGAATGTCTTAACAATGGGGGACATCATTTATAGAACATAATTTTCAAAACCAAGTAAAGTGTACTATCTGATATAAAATGGCATCTAATAAGCTATTCACATATAAAAATAATTTTTCTGTATGTGTCGTATGATTTTTGCAAAAGCTTATTGAAATCAGAGAGTTTTTTTGAAGGACCCTGTACAACATTCATCTTGAAACTAACATTCGTGAACAAACATCACTACATACAAGTGACTCTTCTTGCTTACGCGGTCATCCTAGACATAAAGTGTTGTGCATGTGCTAGAAGCTGCTGCACAATAATGCTTCTGTAAACATTGCTATTAATTATTGGTGCTCAATGATAATAATCTTTTAATCTTGATGCTCTGTGCCGGTATTCTTAAACCTGATACCGGAGATTAAGAACTTAGCAAGTAATTGTAATTTGCACGGCATATCTTACAGTCTCACTATTACCGCCTCTGACTTCGTACTCCCACCCTTCAGAAGGTTAATTTGCAATGATTAAAAAATTGCAAATGCATTTTTGAAATTGGTTAATACGTTTGAATGGCATCTTTTTTTTTTTTGTTCACGTCCAAACTGCTTCGTAATGGTAACGAGTTTTTCAGGTTTACATCTTAATAAAGAAGCTAGAATCTGCTGCGAGGTTCTTTTTTGGACCGAATGTCCGAGAGGCGTGATAACATTAATAGATGATTAATGAGGCATGATAACATTAATACCTGTAGATGGTTAATAAGGCGTGATAACGTTAGTACCGTAGATGATTAATGAGGCTTGATAACATTGATAGATGATTAATGAGGCGTGATAACATTAATAGATATAATATAATATTAATAGATGATTAATGAGGCGTGATAACAATAATAGATGATTAATGATATGATCTATTGTCCACAGGGTGCTGAGTGAGGACTTCCTGACATCAGTTACGACTGACGAAGTCGTGTCCTTTGCGCAAGTCGCGTTCGACGCGCCGCTCTTCATCATGTTCTCCTCCGGCACGACCGGGGCGCCGAAGTGCATCGTGCACGGCGTGGGGGTGAGTTCACTGCATCGTGCACGGCGTGGGGGTGAGTTCACTGCATCGTGCACGAGGCGTGGGGGTGAGTTCACTGCAGTCGTGCACGGCGTGGGGGTGAGTATGGTTGTATTAGATCGGTGTAATATTCCTGTGTATGAGTAGGGTGTATTCGTTATATTATCACACGTGTGAATTATTTAGCTGTAAAAGTTGGCTCATTAATCAATATTTTTTGTTACGGTATGTTACTAATTATTAGTTATATTAATCATTAGTCACGTGTAGAAGTTCGTTGCTGAGGATCTCGCTCAGCTATGTGAGTAGAACTGCCCGAAAACGTTCACGTTTTCGACGCATTTTCAGTATATTTGTTTTTCTTTGCCCTAAAAGTCTTCAAATTAATAATTTATTAATTTGTTTTCCTCTTTACGATCAGTTTCAATTAATACTCGCGTCTGTTTTTTCCTATCTACTCGCCTATTAGTTCGCCCCCTTTTCATTGATAATTTCCACCTTGTGTTAGCCTTTGTTTACTTTCCACCATTTTTTCAGGGCACCCTCATCCAAATTACGAAGGAACATCAACTGCACTGCGACCTCAGAAGGGATGACGTCATCACCTACTACGTCTCTGTGGGGGTGGTGGGTTGTGGTGTGTCGCTGTGTGGACAATATGCCCCATTCCTTTTCTGAGTGATCACACGACCTGTAATTGCCTTATCTTTTAACTCGTGTTTTTCGTCGTAAAACGGACTTTATTGGTGGTTGCAGCTGCTCTCCTGTGAGGCGGCGCGTGATTTCTAACAAACATTCCACAGGTCGGTAGTGTCTCAACATACTGTTTGCTTCAAGTTTGCTTTATATGACGCTAGGTCAAATAAAGAAGACATGCAGAGCATCAAGGCAACGTTTGAGCTTATATTTGGTTGCTAAAGACATGCCTCAGCCTCAGGTTTGAGCCCGTGGTTGCTTAAGCCATGCCTCAGCCTCAGGTTTGAGCCCGTTTGTCACCACCAGACCGGCTGGATGATGTGGCAGTGGCTGGTGACTGCACTACACAGTGGGTGCAGTGTGCTGCTCTACGACGGCTCCCCACTCCTGCCCCACCCCGCCACACTCTTCGACCTCGTCGATGCATATGGTGGGTGGGCAGCCAATTACTATCTTGAATATCCTGTAAAATTATACATCATATGTGCTACTTGAGTCATTTATTAACACTCATACGCCACCCATGTTATCTTACTAATTCGTACGTCAGGTATCATATGCGCGACCAATGTTATCGTACTAATTCGTACGGCAGGCATCATATGCGCGACCAATGTTATCGTACTAATTCATACGGCAGGCATCACCGTAGCAACTCATACAGGGTGCGGCGCGGGAACTTACTTATTTGAATTGCGCGCCACGTGGCGGCCATTAGTCCTAGGAAGGTGGCGCCATGCGCAATATGACGTGCACGGCGTGGGGGTGAGTTCACTGCATCGTGCACGGCGTGGGGGTGAGTTCACTGCAGTGTTCACTGCAGTTCTCCTTGTGTTAGCCATTGTTAACTTCTCACCTTTTTCCAGGGCACCCTCATCCAAATTACGAAGGAACATCAGCTGCACTGCGACCTCAGAAGGGATGACGTCGTCACCTACTACACCACGGTGGGTGGTGGTGATGGAGGTGGTGGTGTGTCGCTGTGTGGACAATATATAACATTCACTTTCTGAGTGATCACACGACGTGTAATTTAATTACCTTATATTTTAACTCGTGTTTGTCGTCAAAAAATGTGCATTATTGGTGGTTGCAGTAGCCCTCCTGTTAGACGCGTGATTTCTAACAAACATTCCACAGGTCGGTCATGTTTGGGTTGTAAAAACATATATTAACCTAATGTTTGCTTCAAGTTCGCTCTATTTGACGCTAGGTCATATAAAGAAGACATGCCTCAGCCTCTCGTTTGAGCCAATGTTTGGGTTCTAAAGCCATGCCTCAGCCTCACGTTTGAGCCAATGTTTGGTTGCTAAAGACATGCATCAACCTCACGTTTGAGCCCGTGGTTGCGAAAGCTATGCCTTAGCCTCAGGTTTGAGCCCGTGGTTGCTAAGGACATGCCTCAGCCTCACGTGTGAGCCAATTTTTGCTAAAGCCATGCCTCAGCCTCATATTTGAGCGTGTTTGTCACCATCAGACCGGCTGGATGATGTGGCAGTGGTTGGTGACTGCACTACACAGTGGCTGCAGTGTGCTGCTCTACGACGGCTCCCCACTCCTGCCCCACCCCGCCACACTCTTCGACCTCGTCGACGCATATGGTGGGTGGACAGACAATTACTATCTTGAATATCCTGTAAAATTATGCATCATATATGCCACTAAAGTTAATTTACATCAGGCAGTTCGAGCATAACACTCTAAACCCACCCATGTTAAAACTGAACTTTAACCACTGGGCAGGGTGGCCCAGTGGTTAAAGTTCAGAGTACCAAGATTGGAGCAGAGAGGCGCGGGTTCGATCCCAGCTCTGTGCGCCAGTTTCTGGTCAGAATCGGCGAGGAGGCCGGGCGGTTAAGCACAGCAGAATTGTAGCAGTGAGTTGCGCGTTCGAGACCGCAAAATGCTGCGAATGTTCTGCGATCTTAAGAATCGGCGACAGGCCTACGGCCTAATAAACGCTGAAACCGCTATTATTATTATGTTATCGTACTAATTCGTGCGGCAGGCATCACCGTACTGTATCATCCGTTAGGCACTCCGTGCACAATACAAATACATCACCCATGTTATTGTATGGCAGGAATCATATTATCTTACGTCACACACCCCATGTATTACATCAATATGTCACTTGTTGTTTTACGTCAGGCACATGGTGCACCACAATAATACATCACCCATGTTATCATATGACAGGCATCATATTATTTTACGTCAAACATCCCATGTATAACAGTAATTCCCTGCCCAAGTTATCGTACAACAGGCATCTAATGTGTCGTTTGTTGTTTTACGTCTGACATTTCGTGCACAATACAAATACATTAGCTGTGTTATCGTACGGCAGGCATCATGTTATCTCACGTCACACACCCCATGTATGACCAGTAATGCTTTACCCATGTTATCGTACAACAGTCATCTAATGTGTCACTTGTTTTACGTCAGACACTTGGTGTATAACAAAAATGCGTATCCCATGTTATCGTACGCCAGGCATCATCTTATCTTACGTTTCACACTCCGTGTATGACAGTAATGTCTTACCCATGTTATCGTACGATAGGCATCTAATGTGTCACTCATTGTTTTACGTCAGGCACTTGTGCACAATACAAATACGTGACCCATGTTATCTGTTGGCAGGCATCACGGTGCTGGGCACGGGCGCCAAGTGGCTGGCGGTGCTGGAGAGCAAGGGCGTGGCCCCCGTGACGACGCACGACCTCGGGTCCCTGCGCTGCATCCTGTCGACGGGGTCACCCCTCACCGAGGCCTCCTACAGCTACGTCTACACCTCCGTCAAGCAGGACCTCCTCCTGGGCTCCATCTCAGGTGATCCTCTGTCACTATGTGCTATGGTTGCTGCTTGATGGAGTTTAACCTTAACCTTGTCACTAGTTAAATGTATTAAATTAACCTTAATTCAGGACTATTATTGATTTATAACTCAAAATATGAGGGAGGGAGATGGTGTAGTGGCCGTTATGTAGTGGCAGTTCGGTAGCCCTCTGACTCTAAATGGGTTTTAACTTGTTCACTAACTGTCACTATCTATTAACCAATAAAGTACCCACTAAGTGGCACTAACTAGCCAATAACGTACCCACTAAGTGGCACTAACTAGTCACTAACGTGCCCACTAATCCCCGGCGTGCCCGCAGGAGGCACGGACATTATCTCGTGCTTCATGGGGAGCTGCGGCCTGCTGCCCGTCTACCCTGGGGAGGTGCAGTGCCCTCTGCTGGGCATGGCCATCCAGGTACTGCCACTAGTTACCGTGCATACTGTCACTAGTTACCGTTGCCTACTGTTACTAGTTACTGGTACGTACTGTCACTAGTTACTGTGCATACTGTCACTAATGTGCCTACTGACACTAGTTACTGTTACTTACTGTCACTAGTGTGCCTACTGACACTAGTTACTGTTACTTACTGTCACTAGTGTGCCTACTGACACTAGTTACTGTTACTTACTGTCACTAGTGTGCCTACTGACACTAGTTACTGTTACTTACTGTCACTAGTGTGCCTACTGACACTAGTTACTGTTACTTACTGTCACTAGTGTGCCTACTGACACTAGTTACTGTTACTTACTGTCACTAGTGTGCCTACTGNCTACTGCCACTAGTGTCTGTACCTACTGTCACTAGTTACTGTACCTACTGTCACTAGTTACTGTACCTACTGCCACTAGTGTCTGTACCTACTGCCACTACCTAGTGTCTGTACCTACTGCCACTAGTTACTGTACTGCAAATTATCAGTTTGATAATACATGTTGAAAGAATGTAATTTATCTATAAATTTCATTTTATTTGTTGAATTTACTATGAATTTGGTTACTGAATGTCATGTAAACTCAGAAAAATGAATGGGTCAAGTTGTCCAAATAGTGACACTTTCTTCACGCAGCACGAGCAGAGAGCAAACGTAGCACTGATACGCGCTTTATTCGGGNACTGTTACTAGTTACTGTACCTACTGTTACTAGTTACTGGTACCTACTGTCACTAGGTGCTGTACCTACTGTTATTTACTGTCATGTACACAGATTCCATCTCGCCAATTTGAGTGCCGTCCATTATTCACGGACTGCTAATTATCAGTTTGATGAAACAATTTGAAAGAATTTAATTCATCTGGTGTTTTAGTTATTGAATAAATTTCACATGTAAACTCAGTACAATGAATGTGTCAAGTTGTCCAAATAGTGACACTCTTCACGCAGCGCGTGCAGAGAGTGAACGCAGCACTGATAGGTACGCGCTCTAGCTGGGCCCAACTGAGTCAGAATGACCCACACTATACCGTAGGGTCAAAAATTGCATCGCAATTTGTACTAAGTTTTGCTTATTACTATACCTACTCTGAGTGAGAGTGTAATGTCTATCGTAGCGATTATATTTTTTATATAAATAAAGTTGTATTTATCTTTGGTTACATATTTGTATATTTGTTTATATATCTATTTGTTTATTTATATGTTTGTTAATAATTATTGTGTCCCCAGGTCTGGGGGAGTGAGGGGCAGCGGGTGTGGGACGAGGCAGGGGAGTTGGTGTGCACGCAACCCTTCCCCTCGATGCCCACCCACTTCTGGGGCGACGTCGGCCACGCCGCCTACACCCGCGCCTACTTCACCAGGTCTGCCCCACGCTTCCTCCTCTTCCCCACGCCTTTCCCACGCTTCTCTCTCTTTTTCTTCCACTGCCCCTTTGCTTCCTCACGCTTCCCCCACTTCCACTCTGCTTCTTCCACATCTCCTTTGCTTCCTCATGCTTTCCCCACTTCCACTCTGCCTCTTCTATTTCCCATTTGCTCCTCTCTCTTCCCCACGCTTTTCCCCCACTTCCCCTTATCTTCTTTCACTTCCACCTGCTTCCTTCATTTACTTGTCGCTTCCCCACTTCCCCTTCGCTCCCCCCACTTCTCGCACTTCCCCTATTTTCCCTCTCCTCTCTCAGCTTCCTAACTTCCACTTTATCCTATAATATCATTTCCATATTCACTCTATATTATTCCTGTCACGCATGCATGCACTTCATGCTGGAGCTTGATGCACAATACTCTTCTACGTACACGAACACATTGTACAATGTACGCCTGTACCCGCGGGTGCGATGGCAGAAGGCACAATTGTACATTGTTATAATTCTCAGAATTGTACAATTTTTAGTTACATACGTTTTAATGCATTTTTCTGGAAGACCCTGACTCAAATAAATTTTGTTAACAGTTTCTTATTCTGCTCGACTACAGCAATAATTGTGTACATTGTGTGCAGGTACCCAGGCGTATGACACAATTGTTGTACATTGTGTGCAGGTACACAGGCATATGGCACAATTGTGTACATTGTGTGCAGGTACACAGGCATATGGCACAATTGTGTACATTGCGTGCAGGTACCCAGGCGTATGGCACAATTGTGTACATTGTGTGCAGGTACCCAGGCGTATGGCACAATTGTGTACATTGTGTGCAGGTACCCAGGCGTATGGACGCAGGGCGACTACTGCGTACAGAGCAGCCATACGCACGGCCTCGTCATGCTGGGGCGCAGCGACGGCGTACTGAACCCTTGCGGCGTACGCTTCGGCAGCGCTGAGATATATGCAGTCGGTGCGTATTGAAGCCCTGGTATACGCATGGCGAGGGAGGGGTGCGTAGTGAACCTGGCAGAGGAGGGGTGCGTAGTGAACCCCTGGCAGAGGAGGGGTGGGTATTGAACCCCTGGCAGAGGAGGGGTGCGTAGTGAACCTGGCAAAGGAGGGTTGCGTAGTGAACCCCTGGCAGAGGAGGGGTGAGTATTGAACCCCTGGCAGAGGAGGGGTGAATATTGAACCCCTGGCAGAGGAGGGGTGCGTAGTGAACCCCTGGCAGAGGAGGGGTGAGTATTGAACCCCTGGCAGAGGAGGGGTGAGTATTGAACCCCTGGCAGAGGAGGGGTGCATAGTGAACCCCAACAGAGGAGGGGTGGGTATTGAACCCCTGGCAGAAGAGGGGTGATTATTGAATCCCTGGCAGAGGAGGGGTGGGCATTGAACCCCTGGCAGAAGAGGGGTGCGTTTGAACCCCTGGCAGAGGAGGGACGCGTTTGAACCCCTGGCAGAGTGTACCCCCTGAGTTTGAAGTTTGAACCCCTGACAAAGAAGGGGTGAGTATTGAGCCCGTTGCTGGAGAGAGGTTCGTGGAGGCGGAGGTGACGTGGTGGGTTTCCCCCTAACAAAATTTAGATCTGGCCCGACTCGGCAACAGGTGCCGCCCCGGACTCGGGGCGCGCGTAAATCAGCCGCTCTATGTCCACTTCTGCTCTGAGTTTGAAAGGCAGCCTCTATAGGCAGCTGCGGCTAGCTCGGTATGACTCGGCTCGGCCAACTCTTTTCATACTCCCTGGCGACTATAAAGTTCGACAGTAGGTTCTGATTAGAAGCTGATTTCGATAGGGTGGCCAAGCAGACCCAGAATAACTTTAATCTTAGTGTAGCGACTTCTGGATTTTGTGGCGACCCCAAATTTTTTTAGGGGCAGTGTAGGGTTTGTAGAGGTTACGTGTTGGTGTTGCAGTTGAGGTGACGTTGTGGTGTTGCAGTGGAGGGGTTCGTGGAGGTGGAGGACAGCGTGTGCGTGGGACAGCGCCGCGCCCGCGATGGTGAGGAACGCGTCGTCCTCTTCCTTAAACTGCGGCAGCAGCAGCAAGAAGAGCAGCTGCCTCAGCAGCAGTTGTCAGCTGATCTGAAGAAGAAGATCGCCAGCGCCATCAGGGAGCGACTGTCAGCTCGACATGTGCCGGCAGTCATGCTGCCAGTTGCATGTACCTCGACCTGCCTGACCTGCAGGGCTGGCAGTGACCTGTACCGCGACCTGCCTGACCTGCAGGGCTGGCAGTGACCTGTACCACGACCTGCAATGTATTGTATTAGTTTTGTGTTGCAACACTGTACCGATCAATGCTCTGTATTATTTGTATTAGTTTTGGGTTGCAACACTGTCCCGATCAATGCTCTGTATTATTTGTATTAGTTTTGGGTTGCAACACTGTCCCGATCAATGCTCTGTATTATTTGTATTAGTCTTGGGTTCCAACACTGTACCGAACAATGCCCCGTATTATTATCTGTATTAGTTCTGTCTTCCAACACAGAATTGACGTATTGTTATCATTGTTTTCTTTGAATATTATCGATAAAAAGTGTATATAGTATCGCTAACTAACTAGATTTATTAAAAAAAATTGATTTGAAGAATATATTCACGAAATAGACAATAATGTATATTAGATGATTCGAAATTTGAATATGAAATCTCAGAATATATTGCGATATTTTATTGAATGGTGATGAAAATAATTGAGAAAATACGTATAGCCGCGAAGTTCTTAGTGAGTAATGAAAGTGAATGGTGAATGGAAGCCTTACCTGAGCCTTGTTAGCTATAGTGAAGGATCGTGTGCTGTGCAGTGTTGCTGTGCAGTGCACTGTACGATGCACTGGCCGTGCAATTTACATGTAATTTTACTGTTATGTTTATAGTGCGTTAAATGGCCTCTGAAAAGTTCTATGAAATTTGTATTAATATTTTTGTATTTTTCGAATACAAATTGTTATTGCAAACGTAGATATTTTCATTCTTCCTTCTGTACTCCTTGGAAATAGAAGTGGCAGACCCTCAGCATACCCTAGTAGGATGGTCTGCTTTATATTCTACCTCGGGCATAAAATGTGCCAGTTTATTTTAGTTAGAAACTTTAGTTAATTAGTTTTTTGGGTATAAAAAGAGTATTAGAGTTTTTATGGTAGAAAAGGGTTGAGAGCTTTTTAAGGTAAAAAATTAGAGCTTTTTCTCTGCTCCGAGCGACGGACCTCAAAATTACAGACCGGCTATCCTGACCTCACAGGTTCTCGAGGTTTTTGAGAAGGTAGTGGCCCGGAGCTTGCCCAGTAGTTTATGGAAGAGGCTGACCTGTACAATAACGGACAACATGGCTTCCGGCGTAATCGTTCCTGTTATTGCAGTACAATCTGTCGCAATTCCTTTGTATCCTTAGTATTTGTTTCGTGGGTAGCAGTCCCAGGCCACGATTGATCTTCGCCTTTTATTTGTCAATTGTAGGTTTTGATGTCAGACTTTGGATTTTGAATTAAAATGACTGTTTTCATTTCATAGATTGACGAACTGACGATGGAGCTGGACTCAGAAATATTTCTAATATCAATATGATGAATTTACTTGGCGTTCTCTTGGCTTTAAAATTCCTTCATCCAGTGGGCCGATGCTGCAGGCAACGCCAGCCCCGGTCTCTTATAAAAATGAGACCAGGGAACCACAACAACAACGCCAGCTGTCATCCAGCGGGCCGATGCTGCAGCCCGACCATTTAGCTAGGAGAGTCTCGTTCGTTATCGGAATTAACCAGACAGATCACTCCACCAACTAAGGACGGCCATGCACCACCGTCCACTGAATCGAGAAAGAGCTCTCAATCTGTCAATAATGCCAGAGTGCTGGCCTGGTAAGATGGCCCGTGTTGAGTCGAATTAAGCCGCAGGCTCCACGCCTGGTGGTGCCTTTCCGTCAATTCCTTTAAGTTTCAGCTTTGTAACCAGACTCCCCCCGGAACCCATAAACTCTGGTTTCCCGGTAGTGGGGAGCTGCCCGCCGAGCCCGTTAGATAGGGTGCTCACGCGGATTGATGGTTGGCATCGTTTAGGGTCAGAACTAGGGCGGTATCTGATCGCCTTCGATCCTCTGACTTTCGTTCATGATTGGTGAACACGTCCTTGGCAGACGCCTTCGCTTTAGAATAGAATAGAATAGAAGTGTCGGCACTGAAGAAATAGCCCCATTGCCTGTTGCCGATTCTTGAATTTTTCGTGACTTGATTCACAAGGGATCCGGCCTTTGGAACCCGATCTTTCCATAACTGACGACTGATTGAGATAGCTGCTGGACTTATTGCCTGGTCCGTAATTTGCTAGACATTTTAAGACTGAACATATGCTCCTGCATAGCTTCGTCTAGTCTGTTCTTGGAGGCGTTCATACACAGCGTCAACGATGCTATCATGGAGGCTGTTCCACATGTCGGTGACTCGAAGCGAGAAGAAATGTTGTCGCATGGATGTGTTACAACGCAGTTTTTTTAGTTTTTAGCCGTGGCCCCTGGTGTTGGTTCTTGTTTCAAATTCTAGTAATCCTTCTGGGACCTTGTATGAGCCATGAGTATACTTGTATGCTTCAATGAGTTCCCCACGCAGACGTCGATAACTGATGCTTAGAAGCTTCATAATCTTTAATCTTTCCTCATAGGACTTGCATTTAAAGACCGGAATTATCCTTGTTGCACGTCTTTGAACACTCTCTATTAAATTTTTGTCCTTTTCAAGTTTCGGTGACCACACGACGTTTCCAAACTCTAGGTTCGGGCGCACGACAGCAACAAACAACTGCTTCATTGTTTCTGCATCTAGGAACTCGAAAGAGCGTCTGATCAGTCCAAGTCGTTTATTGGCTTTAATAACTTGATCTTCAATATGCTTAGAAAATTTCAACTCATTGTCGATATTAACTCTTAAATCTTTTTCAATTGTCGACTTCGACATCATCACTCTCTCGTTGTAACCGTGTCTTCTCATACTGTAATCTTGCTGTTCATTATTCTTGCCGAGGGCGAGGTGGATTACTTTACATTTGTCAGCGTTAAAACGCAGCTGCCACTTATCAGCCCAGTCAACCAGCCTGTCAAGATCACCTTGTAACTGTACTTTTTGCGACGTACTCTTCACTGTATTATAAATTTTTGTGTCGTCAGCATACACCGAGCGCACGCTAGACACAGCTTCTGGCAGATCGTTTATAAACGCAACGAATAAAACAGGCCCGAGAACGCTTTCTTGTGGCACGCCGCTGCGCACTGAAGCCCAGTCTAATACGGACCCATTAATACTGACACGTTGGCACTTTAGGAGGTCTTGTGGGGGTCGCAGAATTTCACCTCTCGCCGCGCAATACCAATGCCAGCTACCGTCTCCATTGATCATTACGTCGCTGCTGGCACAAACACACCGGTAAGAGAGAGCGCCACAACAAAGAGCACCTTCCTCCGCCCGCGACCAGCAGCGACGTCATGTTTCGTCATGCCTTGCAAAACCAATTTAGTCCGCAAAGACTGTTTACAGGGCACGAGGCCGTCACGACTGCTGTGAGCACCATGATTTAGTGATTTACTCAAGGTGACACAGGAGCCACCCCGCGCAAGCAAGGACACAGAGGGGGCTTGAAACGAAAAGAGAGCAATGATACCCTCAAAACGTCCAACACCAACACCTCTGAGCAAATCGCCCAAGCCGCGCGAGGCTTTCCCATATTCAGTGCCATAGAGTCAGGAGCAGACAACAGGACGGGGACACGAGGTACCCAACGTCCAGCTGCTCCATATACCAAACACCAGTGGCTCCAACTGCGAGCCTTTTATAACCGCAGCAACTTTAATAGATGCTACTGAAGCTGGAATTACCGCGGCTGCTGGCACCAGACTTGCCCTTCAGTGGATTCAGTGATTAGACTAAGAAAAAAATAATGAATTTGGTTCTATCGTCTCAAATATTTTAAAGTTGCACAATCGGAGTGATTACTCTTCCAATTTTACGTTACGTTCAGGTTCAAGGTATTCATAACTTAGCGTATTGTCAGGTTGACGCAGAGTAGCGCTTGATAGGAACGTATGAAAAAGTTCTCGGATGAATGGGTTTACGGCAAAAAATAATACAAAGAGAGGGTTGTAGTGAAACACTTATACATTTCATATTAAATTGAGAAATTCAAGTTCACATCCTATGTTAATAACAATCTCTAGTACATGAAAAAGGTAATCTGAACACAATCGGAGTCCAAAATCTATCAGTTAACATAATTAAAATCATCTAATTTTACCAGAAAAACGTTGATCCGTTGCAGTTCCAATGCGTACGACAGTTGTAGACGACCGTAACTTGCGCACACGTTTGCGGCCGTTGGTTCAGCGGCCGTACCGCTGCTGTATTCTCGCGTCCGCTTTCACAGTTGCTCTTTCTCTATGGCCGTATTTCCCGCGCTACAGTGATGTCTCACCGCCGATCCAACCGTAGAATTTATGATGACCGTACTTCGGTTGATGACTATGACCGGACCGCTTCTTCTGATGAAAACTGTGACCGTATCGTATTGATGACCGTACTGAAGATAATTGTTGCTCGGTGCTTGAGAACTTGAATCTTCTTATTGCTGACATTATAACTGTAGAACATCTCGTGGCCTCTCGCATTGCCTCACGCCCGAGTAGCAGTAGCACCGTTGATGTCGATCGTACCCTTGTAGATTTTAGACGCGCTCACAGAAATCGTAACTGTCTCGATGGGTCTAAGTTTCTTGCAGGTTTCAATGTTCGAAAAAAACTGCAAAATCGCTGGCCTCCCGGCCGGGGCCGTCACGACGGCCGCACGACGTGACCGTACTCGCGTGACGGTCACCTGAGTAGAACCAACCAACCCTTGGCACAAATTTTAGGGCTCTTATATAGGCAGCCGTCGCGCACACAGTTAAGTCTATTCCCTCGAAGTGACGCCGCGACAGTTTTGAAATCCGCAAAAGTCAGCCGTTTGATGCCCTCGCCATTCCCAACTATAAACAACCCTCGGTATCACGGTCTCGAGAACAATAGAACCTTATACAAGCTTTACATAGTTTTAACCCAAATTCCTGTAGCCTTCTCAACACTTCACTCTAAGTCTCTAACTTCCAGTAACTGTCATAACTCAAGTTACGAATTAATTCAACCTCAGACTACGTTCTATATGTACGATATTACATAATTTTAAGTCAGAATAACCGACGCTCTAATCAATTTAAGACATT